AATCACTAAGTGGTGTGGTTAAATTTTCTTATTTATGTAGTAGTTGACTATAGTTGACTAGGTTTTGGAAGTTATGGGACTAGTGAAGGAATATATGCCAAGCAAGAATGGTGAAATTGTAATGGTGTTTAATTATTTATGATATAAAATGGGATATTAATTTAAATTGGATTTGCTTTGAAATGCATATTATTCAATAAAGTTTGTTGGAGGCTTTTTTTTTGGGCTTTCCTCACATTTTTTTTATTTCAATCATTTTGTTTGGACTTTCACAAGACGCATTTCAAGCGGTCCGATAATTAAATACAGTTTTAATTTCGAACGTGATTTCACCATATTGTAAAATGATTTTGACAAAATTGAAAATATGTTACATGCAGTCATTTGAGTTAGCTTTTTAATCCAACTTAAATCAGCTAGACCGGGTGTCAGTTGTCTACACTATTTGGTACCAATTTGATTTTCTTTCAACTATTTCCTTAAAACGAAATATTTTTTAATCGTTAAAAGAACAATCTCTCCCAAACTCGAAATTGACAAATAATTTGATCCAACAAAATTACTCCAAAGAGACAAATATTTTGGTACTGAAATTATATACCGATTTATCAAAAACCAAAAAAATGTTTAAATAATTTTGTGAAAGAATAAATTTTCACCGATGCTCCTTGGCTTCGATGGTTATTGGTTGTCATACCTCCCAAAGAGGTCAATGGTTCAAGTATTGGTAGAAGAAGAAGACGGAAAAAATTGAGGTATTTCAAAATACCTTTTTTTTTTATTTATAAATATATCAATTGTGCGATGCACGGAACAACATTCCAAATAGGAATAAAATATTTATTTAAATGCATAAAAAATAAAATTGACAATAAGGAATATATATTGCACAATATTAAAATACCTATTTGTGAAATTTAAATTTCACTAATAACATTAAGATTCGTAAAAATATAGTGACAATATTAGGTCTCGGTTTTTCCTATCAATTTTCCCAAATAAACTTTTGCTTGTTAATGTTTTCCAAAAAAAAATCCCAACAAATACGCCCAAAGTTCATCTATCCTTCAAACAATGATTAAATTGTTGTTTTCTAAAAGGGGCAATTTGCTAGAGGTCCCTTTATATTATAATTTATGTGTGTAAATCCAAGTCAAAATTTAATGTTTTAATAAATTAATAATATTTATTATGGCAAAAATACCCTTAATTAAATCAAACCAAATCCCAAAAATCTCTCTATCATAACAAATTCCCAAACATCTCTCTTCCAAAAATTAACTAAAACAAATAAATTAATTCATAACAAAAATATACAATTTATTTGACAAACTCATACTCTAAAAACGTCACCGCAGCCCCACCACCGCCTATGATCCGGAAACTGCGAGGTCTATGACTCCGCGAACTGCAAATAGCAAACTGAAAATTAGATTTTATATTATTGAATTGCAAACAACAAATTACCTATGATTTCGCCAAACGCAAACAGCAAACTGAAAAAACAAAATTCATAATTTGTATTACTAAATTACAAACAAATTATTACCTATGACTTCGCCAAATGCAAACAGCAAACTGAAGAAAAACATTCAGCAAAACTTGCATTATTGAATTGCAAGTAATAAACTACCTATGATTTGGCCAAACGCAAACAACAAACTGAAAAAAAATAAAAAAAATCAACATCATTAAAAACATCCACCAAAAAATTGTTTATAGAACAATTTGCAAACAACAAAAATATTAAACAAAATGTTTGTAAAATGTAACTTAAGACATACCTTGCAAATTGTAAACCAGAGGAATCGAATCTCAACATCAAACGCAATTCTTCAAACAACAAACGAAATTAAACCAACTGCAAACGGAAATTGCTAACAACAAACGATGGGAGGTTCTACATACGGAAAACACAATGCGAATTTGGCTAGGATTTTGGATTTCTGATTTTTTTTGGGAGGGGATGTTTGTCGTCCTCTTTGATTCTTTCACAAAGAAATCCTCTCATAATCTATTAAGATCCTTGTTTTTTTTCATCTCTATAATATTTCTTTATTAAAAAAACGAAAAAAGAAAAAAAAAAAGAGAGAAGCACGAGAGAGAGAGGCGTGAGAATTGAGTTGCAGAAGGAGAGAGATGATGAATTATATAGGGGGGAAATAACGTGAGATTGGAGAAAGATAATATATAAGATTTGTTTTCTTATTAATTGAGGGTGTTATGGTCTATATACTAATTATTTTAATTTATTTATATTAATTTATTGAGTCAAAGGACCTATGCCTATATTCATCTAACAACTAGGATCTTTAGCCATATAAGTCCAAAATAAGGGGTGTCTAGCAAATTTTCCCTTTCTAAAATGTCTCACTAAAAATAAATAAACATCATTTTAGCTACAATTAATCATGAAAAAATATAGATAATATGTATTAATGTAAAATGTGAGAAAAACAAATATAGCTTAACAAAATCAAATAGATTAATTATATTAACATAGAAATTAATTTCTCTTAAATCGTTCATCCAAATAGTCAGATTTGAACATAATATTCACTTGTATGTCTAAAATATCCTGTGAAAATCGTTTTTTTAATAATAGGACACTTTAAAGTTATAAAGAAAACTAGTAAAAATCAAACAAATTAACATATTAATGTGAAAATTAATTTCTCTCAACTTGTTAATAAACAATGGCGAGATTTTAACACAACTCTCATTTATATTCAGCTAAAACATATTTGTAAAAGTTAGTAAAAAGATGATCTTTGTCAACACATTTAAACAACCCGCATAAATGATGACCTAAATTAGAGAAGTTGATATAGATGGAGTAAACGAAATTTAAAGTGTAGAAATCATTAATACATTTTCATAAATTGAGATTTTTTTACTTTATTTTGCAAAATCTGCCAAAATCTCTAGTAGAATGTAACCAAAAAGCTAGCTTCTATCTGCATAAATTAAACAACCTAGGTTTATATATATATATATATATATACATTCATCATTCTTCAGTTAATTATTGAGAATGACAACAAATAGCGCACACATATTAATTGCATTGTAATAATAAACAATACACCATGAAAATAGAAAAACAAAACTGAAATTGGAAAAAGAAAATCTAAAATACTAGAGCCCTTTGTTGGGGATTAAATCCCACGCCATCTACATGAACAACAATCATTAAAAAGTCTGATTTAACAAATTCAAATAAAAGATTCATATTGATGAGAGCTCATCATTTAACGCTAAACATAAAAGGAACATAAGAGATCCTGCTACAGAAATTATTTGACAAAAAAATTCAGTTCAATAATATCATAAGGAAATAAATCAAAAGTAAGAAAATAAGAATCGTTTAATGATTATGGCATTGGTTTGAGGAGGCACTTTGAATTCTTCAGCAGCAAAATTTCAGATTTCACTGGGCAGCAAACAAAATCCTAATAACTGCGGCGCAAGGTCGAAGAATAAAAAATAAATAAATAAAATTCATAAGCCATGAAAAATTGCACGACACGATCGATGATAGTGGAGAAGAAGAATAAGGAGAAGACACAACGGTGGGTGTAAATGATTTTGACAAAATTGAAAATATGTTACATGCAGTCATTTGAGTTAGCTTTTTAATCCAACTTGAATCAGCTAGATTGGATGTCGGCTCTCTACACTGTTTGGTACCGATTTGATTTTCTTTCCACTATTTCCTTAAGACGAAATATTTTTTAATTAAAAGAACAATCTCTCCCAAACTCGAAATTGACAAATAATTTGATCCAACAAAATTACTCCAAAGAGACAAATATTTTGGTACCGAAATTATATACCGATTTCAAAAATGAAAAACAATGTTTAAATAATTTTGTGAAAGATCCCATTTTCACCGATGCTCCTTGGCCTCAATGGTTATTGGTTGTCATACCTTCCAAAGAGGTCAAGCCGTCAAGGGTTCAAGTATTGGTAGAAGATGAAGACGGAAAAAATCGAGGTATTTCAAAATACCTTCTTTTTAATTTTTTTATTTATAAATAATTCAAAATTGATTTGTTTTTGTTAAATTGGTAAAGAAAATTTTAAGTAATTACTTAACCTAATTTATTTAATTTTTTTATTTATAAATAATTCAAAATTGATTTCAAAATACCTTCTTTTTAATTTTATTTATTTATAAATAATTCAAAATTGATTTGTTTTTGTTAAATTGGTAAAGAAATTTTTAAGTAATTACTTAACCTACTTTATTTAATTTTTAATTTTTTTATTTATAAATAATTCAAAATTAATTTGTTTATTTTTAATTTGTTAAATTGTTTTTGTTAAATTGGTAAAGAAAATTTGAAGTAATTACTTAACCAAATTTATTTAAATTTTAAACACGCATCCGGTATGCTGAAACAACGAATTGGATTCTTCTGGAACACGAAAAAGAACTGCCACGCTCATATTGTGTCCCCCCCCCCCCACCCCCCCCCCCCCCATCCCCACTTGTTTGCAGGCATGGCGGCACGTAAGTCAGCTTCCACACACACAAACCGCCCTAAACATTTAACAGAATCAAAATGCGAAGTCGGTTATATTTCCTGAATTATCTTTCATTTTAATTAATTATTATTATTTTATTTTTCATACTTCTTCATTCAATTTCTGCCTACTCTCGGATTTAATTTTCTTCTGGACTAAGTTTTGCATACCTTTCCATGCAAGCAACGATTTCATCAAGCAACAATATATATATATATAGGGTGAATTTTGATTTCGTATACTTTGTTTTTTTGATGGTGGTATGGATGCGGAAGGGGACCAAGTTTCGATGACTGTGCTCGATTACGAAACGGCGGCGTACGATTCCGACTGCGAGTCGTCGGTTTCCGATTCCGGCCGGTTGTTCAGAGAATTCGCCAGGAATGGAATGGTGAAGCTGGAGGAGAGCGCAGAAGGCGGCGGCGGCGGCGGCGGCGAGTACGGTGCGGTAATGAAGAGTTTTCTGGTGGATATGAGGTTCCTCGGTGAGGAAATTGATGTGGTCGCCGTGCATAAGAACATGTACTCGAGCGTTGCTGGGCAGGCGAAGCTGGAGGCGTTCCGTGTCTTTTCCCGGGCGGTGGCCGCCAGACGCGGCGGCGATGCTAATGTTAAGTACGGGTGGTACGGCGGCTCGCCGGATGAAATTCGTGATGTTGTTACTTACGGATTTGTCGGATCTGGGAAATTCGAGAAGGGGATTTCGCACGGCGTTGGAATTCATCTTTCCCCTGTCAATTCTCCCTTTGATAGGTAACTGAAATTTCTGAATTCATACTCCGTTTGGATTATTGCTGCAAATTTATACTCTGATTTTGTTTTTTAGATTGGATTATCGCTGCAATTTCGTACTCTGTTTTTGGTTTTGGATTATCGCTGCAAATTCATACTCTGTTTTTGGTTTTTGGATTATTGCTGAAAATTCATACTCTGTTTTTGGTTTTTGTATTATTGATGCAATTTCATACTCTGATTTTGGTTTTTGGATTATTGCTGCAATTTCAGATTATCGCTGCAATTTGCTCTGATTTCGGTTTTTGGATTATCACTGCAATTTCATGCTCTCATTTTGGTTTTTGGATTATCACTGCAATTTCATGCTCTGATTTTGGTTTTTGGATTATTGTTGCAATTTCATACTCTGATTTTGATTTTTGGATTATCGCTGCAAATTCATACTCTGTTTCTGGTTTTTGGATTATTACTGCAATTTCAATTTTCATACTCTGTTTTTGGTTTTTGGATTACTACTGCAACTTCAAATTTCATACTCTGTTTCTTATTCGGATTTTGGCCAGTGCAATGAAAGCAAAGGAAGATGAAAATGGAGTAAGGCACATGTTACTATGTCGTGTAATATTGGGCAACACAGAAATCATCGGCCCGGGTTCCGAACAATCACATCCGAGTTCAACCCAATTCGATTCCGGAATCGACAATCCTATAGCACCGACGCAATACATTGTATGGACTTCGTACATGAATTCCCACATTTTTCCAAACTACATCATCAGTTTCCGAGCCCCTTGTTTAATAGGTAATAATTTAAATAATCACCTTATTCCGACAGTAATCGAAGCTTTTTTTCTCATACGTTCGATGCATGCGTATATAGTTTTCCTTCGTTTTTTTAGGTTTGCGGAGAACTTGGAGATCTGCCACGACCCCCAATTCGCTAAGTATGAGTTTTCCCGTGTTTTTGAAAGTGCTATCCAGGTTCGTGCATCCTTCGAAAGTGGGCTTGATTTTGAACTACTACAACGAATTTCGGGTGAGCACTATTTGAAAATCTCGATTTCAAAATTTTCTCGTATCCGTTACATGAATATATGACAGGCTATTGGATTCGTATTTACAACCTTTGATGTTTTTTTACAGGAAAACAAGATTGTTCGTTCTCAGCTGATTAGAAGATTGAGGAACATAGTGGGAGATAAGCTGTTGAGTTCAGTAATAAAATTGTGCAGAAATGAGGTGAATTCATTACTTTATTCTTCGTTTCGATTCTAATTGGTCGGATGTTCTGAGCTTTTACGATTTGAGCTTCTTGGTACTTTATGCTCGATAGCTTTATTTACTTTTCTTTTTAGTACTAGTTCTCGACAAAGTAGGCTGAATTCTTGGCCGGATTCAGTGTTTATGTAACTTTGAAGATGGATTATCATTCAACAACCGTATACATGTAGTAATTGTGATTAATATATTGTACTTGGTTTTTGCAGAGAGTGTAAATCTTGTTGCCAGATTCTTGACATATGTCCGTCAGTTGCATTCGAGTTTTTCAGATGAACAAAGAAGAGTGATATTTGAGGAGTAATGTGTATAGATTGGAAGGCATGAATATTCTTAATTTTCGGTTCTTATAGAATAGGGTTCAATACTTTGGAAATATATCTGAACGACTGCAGTTTTTAGTAATTTTTGGAATTTATCCCGATTAATATTTCCCTTACACTTTATTTGGTTTTACGCGTCACTTCTTTTAAGGGCAACGGTACCAAACTCTTCAAACCACTGCCATTATCGAAATTTCAGTTCCTACTTCATATGGTTAAACAACATAAAAACCCCTGTGTTAGGGAAAACCTGTGCCAAATCCCCCTTTGTTTTTTTTCTTGCGTAAAACCCCCTTGTGTTTTATTTTACTTTGCACGAAATCCCCTTTTCCGTTAAAAGTTAACACCGTTAACTATAGATGGGGTTTTATGCAAGTTTTTTGTAACATAGGGGGATTTAATGCATTTTTTCTACAATAAAGGGGATTTTATGCAAAAAATAGTTTATTTGTTTGAATTTCATATTACTTTTTGAAATTAAGTTGAACACATTTATTCAATTACAATATCAAAAATAAAAAATTAATAGGGCTGGTGAATGTTTATAAAAAAAAATCAATTTTTATATGATATAATTTACTAATGTATGAATATTGATTTTTTAAATTATAATTTATTCTATTAGAATTATTATATATGTTTACAATTTATTCTTGATTAATTATATGTGAAAAGAACATAAATAATTTGAGAATTCGTTCCAACTTCCATTTCGAGATATTTTCTTAGTTTTCATAATTAAATCGATAGATATATTCAACTTAATTTAAGAAAATAATTTGAATTTTAAATGAATAAATTAATTTGCATAGACCCCCCTTGTTTTGCAAAATTATGCACCAAATCCCCCTATGTTATAAAAAATTTGCATAAAACCCTTTCTATAGTTAACGGCGTTAACTTTTAACGAAAAAGAGGATTTCGTGCAAAGTATAATAAAACACAAAGGGGGTTTACGCAAGAAAAAAAATACAGAAATGTTTGGGCCAGGTTAGGGGGGTTTTATGCTGTTTACCCTACTTCATATGGGGAAATGCCATACATAATACCAAGATTTCACAACGGCTTCTTGCTCTTTTTATTTAATTTAATTTAATTTAATTTATATCTGTTGAGAGGAATAAAGGAAAGAAGAATTGTCAATAAGATTGCCTAATGGGGCCATCTTAATTCAGCTCGAAAGTACAATAATTCACGGCCTACATTAACAAAGCCCAAAATTAAGTTATCATGGAAATTTTTTGTTGTGTTTCTAACCCAATCTACTATTAAATAAGTTTTTGGTGGAATCGTAACAATAATATTACATCAAATAGTGACAAAATACAACACAACAAATATTGATTTCTCAAGGTTTTAAATAATATATTTTTCTGGACATAGCAATTAGCAACTAGAAAGTGACTTGCATTCACTCATGAACTGGACCAATTAATATATTTGGTGATTAGAGCTAAACAAAAGATTGACAGATGACAATGCTGCAGAAAACATTTTGGAGACGAGATTATAATATTAATTTAATCTCCAATTTAAATAATTTCTACAAGATAATATTTTATTTTAGGAAATTAACACACACACACAAAAAATGTCACTTTCTCTAAATCAACGCCAATCTAGAAGCAAGTAACTCCAACCAACCCATACACTTAAAAATTGACCCACCAACACTCTGATAACCTCTTGTAAAAACGTGTTAGTCAAGTTAATTATCGTGTCAAATTGGATTAGCTTGACAATCCAGACTTTAAATAATTTAGGTTTTATTCCCCATGCAAATTAGTCAGCTCATTTAATCAATCGAAAGCTATTTAATATCTTCATTAGTTGTTGTGCATCATACTAGTAATATTTACCCTGTGTAGTTAACTTGTAGACGAATTCAAAGTCTAATTAATTAATTAGTATAAATAATAAGGAAGCTGATGGTTAAATTAGTGGATTAGTCAGTCTTAAGACTAGGTCAATCATTAGTGGTTGGTCATCTTGCTTCACAATAAGATTGCTAAATATTAATAAACTATATAGTCTACATTGGAGTTTTCTTTTTTTTCTTTTTTTTTTTCTTTTTTTAATATTTTTGTGATTTTTGAAGAAACTAGCATAGAAGTAAACCATTTATCCAGACACAAACACACACACTCATGTTGGTGTGTGTAAATGAACGGTAAAAATGTAACCGGTGTATGCTAAGTTGGGTATATCATAGTAACTAAATAAAAATATATATAAATCGTGACTTGAATTAATCACACACACGCACTCGAAAGGATTTGAACCCACAAGCACTAGGCTAAAACTTGATTGTATATTATTATATTAATCATTTGAATTTGGGGTATTTTAACTTGTATGATTGGACAATAAGTTACAAAAATTGAGTTGTATGATCATCACATTATTGTCACACCGGGCGATTTTGACAACTCATAACTTATTGTATATAGTCTATAATTGGATTATTAGAATTTACAAACTTGTGAAAATACTAACATATGGGCCCTTTTCTTTTTAACCATTACAGTACCATCTAATTATATTACTTCCGAGTGAAAAACTCTTTTACATAATCAAAGGAGAAGGGTGTTTAAGATATTTTCACTTTCTTCATCATCAATACAAAATAAAATAGAAGATTGTCAATCCAATTATTTGTTAATCATAGAAACCAAACACACGACACACAATCACATACATTTATTCCAATATTAATTACTCAGATTTATTTTATTAACTACAACTATAAAAATCAAAAGAGGCCTAAATATATTTCTGATGGAGTCAGTTCGACACTGAACCGTACCCCTACCTTTTATGTCTGTCGGGTGAAAGGTCAATGGGTTGCAAGAAGTAAAATGGACCAAGAGCTCGTTCAAATGGGTTACGAGAGTTAGGGCGGGCTAGAAGCTCGCCTAAAAGGGTTGTGATTTGCAAATGATCAACGGGCTGAGAACCCGCCTTATACTTCTAATACGTGTGAAGGCGCGGTCGGTGGCGAGCTGATATCATGATTGTTGGAAAATGTGATCCGTAAATAACTTTTATAAAGAGACAAAAAAATATTGTGAACTAGAATCATTGATTGAACGACTGCAACAAATCATAGACGAAGATAGCGACTGTAAATTATGAAGGAATCATAAATGGTTCTCTATATAAGCAAACGTATTAAACCCTAATAGGGTTACATACATACTTGACACTTTCTCTCGAATTCTCCATCTCTTGTATAATATCCTTTTACCGTATTGTTCATCGCCACCGACCGTAAAATCCGGTGATCGGTGTACCCTCCATCATTTAAGAAAGCAGAATTTGGAGAAGTGTTTTAAGGGTGCAAACATTATACCATCAATATAATATAGGAATATATATGCCACTTATCACAAGTCACAACCACAAATCACATATTTCCCATCGTCATTAAAACTTGAAAATAGAAACCACAAAATCATGATTATGATTTGTTGCAATAAATTAAAAAAAATATATATATATATATTTCCAAATATGTGTAGTAGAAGATAATTACTAGGCTGCATATATGCCGCCTTCCATCCTTGGCAATATTATTATTAAATTGAAATGTGCAGAGCACGGTGCCTACTGCACCTCTTCACTAATGGCTACTCTCTTCTATTTTGTGCACCCATTTATTGCAATTTGTCCACCCCATCACTTTTTAATGCCACCAATAATTTAAAGTTGACTTCTTTATATCTTCTTTTATTTATATACAAATGTATATATGTGTGGATTCAAGTTAACACTATGACATGACTATTTTTCATTTAGTATATATAGATAGTTCCTATTAAATTATCAAGTTTTTATTACCAAAAAAAAAAAAAAAAAAAACTTAGTTTAAGAAGAACCAAATCTTGATTTACGTCATTGATGATGCACAATAATTTACATGTGAAATTATTACTACATAGGTGAGAAGTGAGAAAGTCAGCAAATAAAAGTTGGACTAAATCCCATGATGCCAAACTAACCTCAATATATTTATTGAATTCAGACTTGTTCCACCCACTCCTCACATTATCTTGCTTTCTTATTTCTAATTAAATCATTATTTATGAATTTAAAATCTTCAATTAAAATACAATGTACAAAGTACAAGCCCTAGGCCAATTTAATTCAACATGTACCAAATTTTGAAGATATGTAAGAAAGTAAAACCAAACTTTAGTTGAAAAACACGAAATTCATAAAAAGTGATAGTGAAGACTTGCCTAATTGTGTTTATTTTTCAAACTTACCCACAAAGTCTTGAATATTGCCAAACAACCTTTTTTTTGTCAATTTGGTAACAAAAGAACCAGTCAACCATATAGGTGCATTGGGTATACATACACTCCCGTATAATACGAATCCCTTAATTTGTATATTAATTACTAGTAAATACAATAAATTCTTTTTTAAACTTAGGTATTGGAATTTGGTCTAAATAATTCTATTGTTATTGCTTGGAATTAATAATTAAGATAACATTTTTTATAAAATAAATTCCAATTTATAAAAGAATATTCTTCACTCGTGGGCAGCAATTATACATTTGCCTAAAGTCTCAATCGAATTGGCCTATGCAAGAGTCAATAGTCAACACCAGCGGATATGACTTTGATATTCAGTAACTTCTTTGCAACTTCCATCCACCCACCCCCAAATTAATGTATTTGGATTTTCGTCCCTTTCCTTTTACTTTGTTTTTTCATTTTATTCTCTTTTACCCCCACAAAAGATCATATGACACTTTCACAACCTTCATTTTTGTATATTGGCTTTATACCCACCTAATTTAACAAAAAATCACTTTTTACCGACTTACTTTGAATTACTATAACACATTTGATAATATTAATGACTTTTTAGTTTTATTAGTAACAAAATATATTTAGAATTTAGATTTATATCACAAATTTTGAATTTTACAACTTTGATTGGGACAATATTCTCATGTAAGCTTGACGGATCAGATTGAAATTAACACTATCGAAAAAAAAAAATCGAAGTCAAAAGTTCATTCTAATTTTGTTCCAAAAAAATTGAGAAAAATTACAAATCAAAATTTCTCAATTGGATTAAATTTTTTTTTACAAAATTGAACATTTTATGGATCAGGGTCAACGAAATCAAAAAAATCCATCATTTAGATGCATAATAATTTGATACTATTAAATTTAATTTTCGAAAAAATTATCAGAATTTCAAGAATTTCAAGAAATACTTTTGAAATTTTAAATCGGGTCAAAAGCCGAAATCTAATATGTATTACAACTCCATTAAAAAAATCTTTAAAAAAAACAGAATTCAAAATAGAAAAAAATATTTCAAAATTGGAAAATTTCATAATCAGAATTAATCGAATTCGAAATTTATGTTTCAATTCCACCCCTATGTAAGCTGAAAATTGTGACAAATTTACCAATAACAAAAATTACGACACCGTTTATGGGCTTTATATTAGGTACCGAGGAATGCGAGGGGCAATATAAGAGCAATAAGCAAAAGTCTTGGGGGTGATGTGCAATTACGTTACTTTAGATGGGTCCTTTGGTAAATGATATAGATTTAAACACCTGAAATGCAAATCTCTGGATGTTTCGAAGCTATTTCAATTTAAAAAACATGGAGAAAAACAAAAAAAGATATTATTATTATATTAGAATAAACAATTGTCTGTGTTCAAAGATGGACAACAACATTAATAGAAAAGTAAAAAAAAAAAGAAGAGAAGCAAACCAAACTTGTTTTCCGACCAACCATTCACTCACATATATAAAACTCCCTTCATTTAATCCTTTTCCCTTCTTCACCAATCCTTTCTCTCTCTAACTTCTCTCTCTACATCGATCTTCTCTCTCTACTCTCTTTGCTCAAGTACTCTATAAACAAATTTAAATTATTCATCACACCGATAAAAATTAAGATATGCAGACTATTAATCTTGAAGAAAAGCAGCTCAGCCCAGATGATAATTTGTTCTCAGAAATTAAAACGAGTCGCGATTTTTACACGCATCTGAAAATCGGCGATGGAGATGCTGACGTGGAGGAGGAAGAAATTGAAGCTGATGATGGCGATGAAGATGAGGAGGAGGAAGAAGAAGAGTTTTCTTTTATGTGTGGAGGAGTGATTACGTCGCCCATAGCGGCGGAGGATGCGTTCGTCGACGGCCAGATCAAGTCGGTTTTCCCGTTGTTCAACCGGGATTTGCTCTTCCACGGCGAATATTCCGGCGAGGGTCTTCACGAGAATTTGCCCATGAGGCCGCCGGTGAAGAAGGTGTTTGTGGAGACGGGAGGAGGGGAGGGGAGGGCGGTGGCGGCGTCGTCCTCGTCGGAGAACGACGAGGTGTCCGCCTCCGGGCCGTACTGCGAGTGGTCGGAGAGGAAGGCGGTGGAGGCGTCGCCGGAGGTGTGCAAGAAGAGCAACTCGACCGGGTTTTCCAAGATTTGGCGGTTCAAGGATCTGTTGGGGAGGAGCAACAGTGATGGAAGGGACGCTTTTGTTTTCTTGAACAACGGCCACGCGCCGCCGTCGGCGGAGGAGCATCAGGCTCCTGCTGCTGTGGCGGCGGTGAAAACAGAGGAGAAGGCGGCGGGCGGTGAGAAGAAGGAAAAAACAAAGGGGAAAGTCAACGGGAAGGTGAAGAAGGGTAAAGCGGCGGCGTTGTCGGCTCATGAAGTGTACCTGAGGAGTAAGGCGAAGGGGGAGGAGCGGCGGCGGTCTTATTTGCCTTACCGGCCGGAATTAATGGGGTTCTTTACCAATGTTAATGGTGGATTAACTAAAAATGTGCACCCCTTTTAATTACATTTATTTATTAATGCAGTAATTCTCTAATTAAGTGTATATTCACTCTAGTATATCTATGTTTTTAGGGACATTTCATTTGTTATTATTTTATTTATTTATTTTCTTAAATTTTATTGTAGAATTGCTGACTCGACAAACTAAATAATTTGTTTGGTTGTATTATTATCTTGTAATGTATAAGTACAACATTATATCAATGCATCCATCTTTTAGTCACATGTTTATTACTTCATTATTGCTCATTATTGATGTTTGGATTTAATTTTAGAAATTAAATCGAACTGAAAATCGAAAATTCCAAATATTTTTTTATATAATTTTAATTCCAAAATTAGAATGAAAGAAGTCGTTCCAAAATCGGAACTTTTCATATCAAAACCAGCGGAAATTTGAAATTTCGTTCCAACTTTCACCCCTACAGAGGATAATGGTGAAATTGAAAAATTGAAACTTGATTTGCAATTTCTCTTCTTTTATAATAATTAAAAAAAAGGTTAATAATTATTAATTAATGGTTGTTAGTCAAAAGTGAAGAAAAAATTAACATATAAATCCAAATAATGAGCTGGAAGTATACGTGTAAACAAAGAAGTAATAATGTTTTTTTATTAAGCCTGATATTTGAACATGTCAACACGGTGCAGTCCTACATTCTTCATTTCATTTCACACTTCACTCGGGACCCAATAAATATAGAGTTACTGAAATTTCTTTTCTTATATCCAAATTTCGTATATAAAACTAATCCCCCAAAAAATATGTCGTTACATGAATTATTTGAGGACCAACATTATTGAAATTTATAAAACATAATACTAGCTAGAGTCATAATTCAATTGGTTTTATTTTTAATTTACCGATATTTGCAATAGGCAATAGGGCCTCTAATTGGTACAAATATTCAAACCTTAAAAATTAGATTTAACCAAGAAAGATCTCTTCTTTACAAATATATAAGTAACAGCTTTATTCAAGAAGGTGGGCCCCACCCCACCTTTGCTACTACCAAAAAACTAAAATTGAAAATAAATAAATAAAAACAATAAAATCTTTGCTATGGAGAAAAATGTCATTAACAAACTCAGTTTATGTACACATGTCACAGTACACACATATATACATATATATATATAAAATATATGTATAGATTTCAAAATAATTAAGAGGGAGGCGTGGTGTTCGGGGCAATTTTTTTTTTGGGGTTGTTTTGGGGGAGAGTTTTTAAAATGGGGCTGTTTTGGGAGTAGTAATTAAATTGGGGTTGGCCGCCACCGGGAACGGCGGCATCAGCCGGAGACGCCACCGCCAACGGCGGCACCGGCTGGAGACGCCGCCACCGGTGGCGTCTTCTACCGGTTTTAAATTTTAAATATTTAATATTTTAATATTTTAATATTTTAATATTTTAATATATTTTAATATTTTATTATTTTAATATTTTATTAATTTATTATTTTAATAGATTGGACGGTCCAGATTACACTGGAAAAATTCAATCCGACGGCCCAGATCAAGACTGCAACCTCGGAGGCCGTGCTTGACCAGGAGACGCCGTTGACAACGGCGTCTTTAGGAGACGCCACCGACAACGGCGTCTCCTTTCTCTCTCCTGCCCATTTTCTCTTCTTCCTCTCAGCTCTCTTCTCTCCTCCTTCCAGCTTCCTCCTTCTTCTTTAATTTTCAAAAACAAAATAACAAATTTATATTTCAAATTACAAATAAAATATATAATATAATTACCACCGACCCCGCCCGGCCGCCGCCGCTGCCCGCCGACGCTGCCTTTCTCGCCGTCGCCTTCCCCGCCGTCGTCTCCGCCGCCGCCGGTGCTCCGCCGGTGCTCCGCCGGTGAACCAAGGTAATATTTATTATTATTGTAAATAATTAAAAAAAAAAGTTATTATTATAATTTTTTATTATGTTCCAATTTTTTAATTAATTATTGTAAATACATGTGATTAGTATTTTTATGATGCATGTGGGTAGTTAGTTAGTTAGTTAATTAATAATTAATTTATTTTATATTAGGTATTAGTACTATATATATTTTATAAGCATGGACAATTTTTTTTGTTTTTGGTGTTGTTTTGTAAAACAGTAGCTAAAATGGTGTTGTTTTGTAAAATATCGGGAAATTAAGTTAAATTAACTGATTAATTTTGTGGTGTGCTTAGTTAAATTATTATTGATTAATTAATATGCCTCATTATTAATTAATCTGGATTGGATTGATGAGTTAATTATCTACTTAATCTTTTGAAGATTGATGGCGGCTAAAACTAATGTCAAAGTGTACGTGTACTTTGGAGGTCACATAATTCCCGATGATTGGGTAGTGCAATATAGTATTGCCCACAAAACAGCATTTCGAATTAAACGTGACCTGTCATTTGCACAATTTCTGTCAAAGTTGTATCAACGTCTAGATGTCGATGTTAATCAGTTTGGGCTAAGAGTGTGTTGCAAATCTTACATTTATAATGGAGAAAGAATGAGGGAGCTGATTACCGAGATGACAACAGATGAAGATTTACAAATGTAT